CATCCGTGACGGGGGGTCGTAGGTGCTTCTGCACTGCAAAAATAAGCACTGCCAATAATCTTATGGTACTTATGTCTGTGCTGTATTTGCATTTTGTGACTCTGGCCAAGATAGGAAGCTGAACTATTGCAAGAGATGATGTGGTTTAGTGAGGCCAGACATACCGGAAACCTCAACCTCTCCTTATGAGAGATGAAGTTCTGTTAGTTTGCCACTATTGGTAATATTTGAATTACCCTGGCACCAGGGGTGACACTAACCCATACCAGAGCCCCATTGGGCGAGGCACTGTATAAACAGATTAATCCCTGCCCTGAATAGTTTACAATGTAACTAAACAGAGGGTGGGTGTACAGATGGGGAACTGAGGCACAGACAGATGAATTGGCCACATAGAAAGTCCGCCCAGACCTCCTAAATTCCAGTCCAGTGCTTTAACCACCAGGCCATTCTTCCTCTCCTGGGGTGAAGTTAAGGATAAACATTGAGATTTTGGGGTTCTTTATCCAAACTGAACCTCAATTTTGAATCTTTAGAAGACCCAAAAGTCCATCGCTATAAGGTCACCCTCCTAGCAAATATTGGTTCGAATTGGTGTCTACTTCAGGGACTGACTTTGTCCATCGCCTTTAGTCTGCAGGACTACAGACGTGAGATAAGACCTGGGCAGTGGCAGATTAGCCACTGAGCTAATGGGGCCCATGCCCAGGTGCCCTGGCCAATTGGGGCACCCCTGAAAAATGCGTGCCCCTGTACCCTGATCTGCTCTTTCCGCCCAGCACTCCTGCTGGGGAGCAGGGGAAACCCTTGTGCCCTGACCCCACTTCCCAACAGGCACACAGGGGGAGGGGGGGACCTCCACTTGCTCTGGCCCACAGCCCCACAAAAGCTTAATCCGCCTCCAGACCTAGGTCCCTAAAATTGTGTATTTCTTTTGCACCCCAAGTTGCCATTACAGAAAAAGGGAGCTTAGATTCTCGAGGGATTACGTTCTTGGCTTTGTGAATTCCAAAAACATGTGAACTACAAAAGGATGTAGAGAAAATGTCTAAGAATCCTGTAAACGAAGAGAGAGAAATTTTGGCCTTCAACATCTATACCAAGACCTCAGAGTCCGATGTCTGACTCAGAGGCTCACCTCCAAGCAGCAGCAGCTTCTTGCAGACCACTTTGTTCTTTTCGCTTCTCATCACAACAACATCAATGCACTTGCACTTCCAGCACCAGAACAAAGTGATAAAAATAAACTTTTCTTTTACATGTTCACCTCCAGCCTACATCTGAGAGCTTCTCTGGGAGTAAAAGCCCTGCATTCGGGCCTCCTGTGTGCATACTAGTAGGCAAAGCTTGATAAAAGCTTAGCTCAGAAGTGTGAACGTGAACTGAGTGTGGTGAGCCACAGGTCACTGTGCGGAGGGAAAACCGGAGTTGAATAAGTATGCCACATTCCCCAGTTGTCTCATTAGTTCTTTATTTATTTACTAAATTTACAGTGTATTTGTATTACAGTATCCACTTAAGGCCCCGTCTTAGCTTGCAGCTCCATTGCGCGAGAGAGTGCCACTCTGCCTCAGTTTCCCTCTCTGTTAAAATGGAAAAAAAGATTTCTCAGTATAGTGCTCTAAGATCCTTTCAATGGGAAGCATTGTCTGAGAGCCAGATGTTATTGTTCGATGGTAATGAAGAATAACAAAGGAACGAGAAATTAGAAACTCGAAGGTGTGGAGAAATGACCCAAGCAAGCCACGGAATGAAATAAGCATCAGTTGCGTCAGCTAATGAGATAAGACCCAAGAAATTGAAACCATCAAAAAACACTCGAAGCGGAGGGGATGGCCGCTAACAGGAAAGACAAGACCTGGTCGTTCATATGATAGAATCTATGACCAGGCTGCACATATGAAGAAGCACTGAAATATACATGTCATTCAGAGGGAGACACAGCACTGCACACTGATGGCCATGGTTCCACTGAGCATGGGGTTCTTCACCGCCAAGTGAAATGTTACGGTTGTAATTTAAATCTCTATAAAAAGTAATGGAACTAATGAAGGTGCAGGCATGGCTTGACTTCTAGATGGTAGGACAGGGAAGATGCATTGTGCTATGCAATCTGCGTGCAGCTACTGCAGAGAACAACAGTTTCAGATCTGTGCAAGTGCATCACCGTGCACCCAGGATCTCTGGGCGCTGGTACAATGTGAATAATAAATAAGAAGAATCAGTGACTCATGAGTAGCGGATATCGCTGCCGAAGTCAGGATCAGTTTGTGCATACTTCAGAAACAGGAGAAATGGCTACATTTGCAACAAATAGTATTGACAACGAACAATTTGCTCCGCTGAACTCAGTCGATTCTGCAAGGCAATGATCACCTATTTGTGAGCTGAGGATGTTCCGTGCTTTGTGAGTCAGGACCCGACACTGGAGATTTGATGCAGTTCTGTTAAACACCTAAAAGTTCAGATGTTTATTCAAAACCGCTTAATCTCTTTGGTCTGCAGACCTGGGCTAGAAGTGCTGGTAGGACAGGCTTTAGGTATCTGGAAGCAGGAAACACTAGTGAGGCAAGAAATACTATGAGAGCAGTTTTCCTTGGGATACCTTGGGCACTCCTGTGGTCAGTCCCAGCTGGACCCAGGAGTACAGAGGTGTGAGCTAAGTAGACATTTTGAACCTCTAACAAAAATCACCCTGAGTTTTGTCTAGTTTGGGTGAAGGTTGGCTTTTATGTTTCCTGAACCTGTTCTTCCAGCTCAAAAGACTACCTAGCACATGACTTGCTGTGACGGGTGCCTGGGATGGACCATCCCTGAGAATGCCACACGCAGGTAGACAGCAAGAAATGGGGCAGACAATCCCCAAAAACTGGGGGTTTATTCTGTAATTAGATTAATCAACCAGTAACAAAGAACTTCTGTAGCACCGCACTGGTTAACAAGAAACCTTTAGGCATTCCAGCCCTTGGTTTCTATCCAGACAAACTGGTCTAATATAGTGAGAGGTTACTGAAAACCCAATTCACCATATGTGAGGTTCTACCATTCCCAAAGGATCAGACACTTACCTCCAGGTCAATATATATTTCAAATCTTACTCAAATATCACGCTGCCAGCCAATCCTTAGTAAACTAACTAAAGATTTGTTAATAAAAAAAGAGCATTGTTAAATGGTTAAAAGATTATATACATTACAAATGCTTGCAAAATCCTTATATCAGATTTGTAGCGGTGATGGGTGAGTCTGATGGCTTGCAAAAGTCTCTCTGGAAACATCCCAAAAGGTTAGAATCCAAAGGCAGCTTAGATGTTGTCTGCTAGAGTCTTTCCATGGCTTTTCCAGTGTATTCCAAGTAACTACTTGGAAGATCACAGTCCCTCAGCTTAAACTTTCCCTGTTTAAAGTTCAGCAGACTAGAGATGCAGGATCGTGCCCAAGGTTCAGTATTTATAGCTCTCTATCAGGCTGACAAGAACTTGTCACAGCAGGGCTTTTCTCCAGGGAAGAATAGACAATGCAGATAGTTTGTGGACCTTCATTGTTAAACTACGACCCTTGCTTTGAATTTAATCTTCTCTTTTCTGTGCATACACAGGTAAACTAGTTGCACTCATTTACATAAGGCAATTAGCCAGTCCATTATAACTCAATCGATAAGTTGAAGACAATATAAGTAATATTATTAATTTACTGCGGTGTCTCACATCTTTGATCTTAAGGTTAACTGAACCCAGTTGCATACATAATGTGAAGGCAATTAAGACATGAAAAGGATTTAGCATCTAAAAGCTAATTTGATTAGACTGGTAAATATAGGTAAACACAGACAAATACACTTAGCTACTATTCTTTGCTTCTTATCAATGCAAAGTGAATGAGTTGGGGTTTGCTAGCCTAATTAACAATTCATTGATACCCATACATAAGTGGATTGTCTTGATTACAACTGCAATGCTTCTTGTTAAGTTGTTGTGGGTCATACACAGGTTAGTTGGTTTGCCAGTGCTAGGAGGGCCAAGAATTCTTACTCCTCCAGAACACGTGTTAAAGTATGCGGCGTAGGCGTTGATTCCGTGCGTGCTCCAGGGCTGCCAAGCTCCCCTCCCCACCACCCCACCTCCTCCTCCTCCTCCTCCTCCACCCGTGAGCACGCCACATCCCCGCTCCTCTGCCTACCTCCCAGCGCTTCCCCCCCAGCTGCCGCCAAACAGCTGTTGGCAAGCTCCGGGCTCGGGGGAGAAGCGGGAACGTGGCACGCTCAGGGGAGGAGGTGGGACTGGGGCAGGGATTTGGGGAAGGAGTTGGAATATTGGCAGGGAGGGGGCGGAGTTGGGGCGGGGACTTTGGGGAAGGGGTGGGAAGAGACGAGGCAGGGGAGGGGCCTCGTGGAAGGGGTGGAGTGGGGGCAGGGCTGGGGGCAGAGGGGGTGGTCGAGCACCCACGGGAAAGAGGGGAAGTCGGCGCCACATGGCATGCGGGACAGCCTGTGGACATCTGTTGTTTTCCTACAGCCAAATCGGAGGTCCTTAGTCCTCACTCAAACAACACTCCCATTGACTTCAATGGCTTTTGCTTGAGTAGAACAGAGAGGCTGGGTGTGGGGGTGAGGCCCTGAAAGAGGCACGGGGAAGCTGGGTGCAATGCCACAAACCTCTTGTGTAACTGTCACCTTGGGCAAGTGATTTCATAGTTCTCCTCCTTTAGCGCCTCACCTGTAATATGGGAACAATAATGCTTCTCTTGTCTGTTTAGATAGAGAAACACTCCCGGGGCAGGGACTGTCGCAAACTATGTGTCTGCACAGTGCCTCGCACAATGGGGCCCGGTCTACAGGCGCTATTATAATACCAGTACTAAATAATAACTAAGGAGGTCGGGATTTGACCCTGAGTGTTGTAAAATTCATGATCTGGAATTTAAATCTGCAAGTGATGCCTGGTTTTTTGAACATCGAATCAATGTGCCCATTGTTTAATCATCCTGCTCTTTTCCTTCTAGGTAATGTGACCAGGAACTGCACAAGCCAAGGCTGGGCAGACATGTATCCTGCCCCCTATGCAGCAGCTTGTGGGTACGATACCAACAGCACTCCAGGAGTAGAGGTCTGTAAAGCCCTGATGAGTAGAATTCAATATGGCTCTTTCCTCAATCCCCTGACCGCTTCACCTCTTTTTTCCCTTTCGCCCCCTGATCCTCAAGGTCTAACAAGAAAGTCATAGAATCATAGAATATCAGGGTTGGAAGGGACCTCAGGAGGTCATCTAGTCCAACCCCCTGCTCAAAGCAGGACCAATCCCCAATTAAATCATTAAGTCATTGTCTTTCTGACCGAGTTCACCTGGAAATAGAGCTCAAGCATTCCTGCTAGTCAGCATTGACACCAAAGAGCCAGGTGTTAAGCACCTGCAAAAACCCATTGACTTCAATGGGAGTTGCAGGTACTCAGCACCTCTGGAAATAAGGCATCTGCTTATGTATAGATATAGCTGCCTCGCTTTAGATATCCAAGTTTGAACATTTTCAGCCATAATGCCTTTTCCCCCTAAAGAATTTCCAAAGTTCTTGGCAAACTACGGTCACCCTCTAGACAGAGTCCACCTGCCAGCCTTACCTTCGTTAAGTAGATACGGTGACCTCAGTATTTGCAGTGTTACCTAAATGTCCTATAGTTACAGGGTCTGCTGAAGGGGTACATTGGCACAGGTCTATTCGCATCAGTGGAGTGACGCTGAGAATCTAGAAAGCTGTAGGGAATACCTGGGGCATGGCAAATACTCAAGTAACGTTATTCAGTTTTCTAAGAAAACTGTCAAGTATTTAGGAGTGTTTCTGTGTGCGTAATTAATGGTGTAGATATCATTAATATAAATGTGCATGTATATATATATATATATAACATAGGAATGATATCGGTAACCGAACAAGATGGAGCATTGCACGTTATATGTTGGGACATACGGTCTCTACATGCCCCACCTCTGTATTAAAAATGGGGGTGGTCACGTAATGTATAGCAGATTTCCATGCGCAGCATTTAGCCAGAGGGTTGAACTTGATCCCTCACTGGAACTTGGTCACGGATGTCATGACCACATGGCTCTGTCTGTCTGTTCCCTGGGTCGTTACCCATTTCTGCCCCGGTGCTCCAGGCTCTTCAGGGCGGGGGGTTTATTGTAAAGCAGCGTGAATGATTAGAGTGATATATCAACAGTAATAAATAACTGGCCAGACACTTGTGCCACAAATAGCCGCCGATGTTAATGGGAAAAGAAGCCTAGAAGTCAATGGGCCACGGAGATTGAACTAACCTCTCACCCCTAAGAGGGTTCCCAATCATAGCCAGCTGACACAAGGAGACCTGGATTGAGATTTTCAAAGCTGACTAGGAAATTTAGCCGCCTAACTCCCATTGAAATTCATGGGAGCTGTGTGGCTAAATCCCCTAGTCAACTTTGAAAATCTTAGCTTTGGAGTCGGCCGGTAGGCTGTACTAGTGAAGCGTGAGATGTGACTGGATCCATGCTTTTGTCTCCCATAAACACAGCTCCACTGTATGCATGTCTTTCCCTGCATTACTGCCTGTGTCAGCATAAGTGATTGCTAGGCAACAGGAGGCCTAGTAATAAAAGCATCTCTATATTAACAGACACTTGTATCTAGCCCTTATGGCTCCTAAGTCTCTCCCAGTACTCCCACATTACCGAGAGAATCAAGTGATTACATGGAAAATCTCAAGAGGGCTTAGCTAGCCTTAATAACGGCCAAATCCGACAGAAAACGCTAAAGGAGACTTGCACAAAGAACATCAGTGCCCTATTGAAGAGGGAGCTTTAGTCAGCTGCTGGGGCCCACCACAGCTTCACCTCTTCAAGTGTCTTGTTTCTAGGATCAAAACTTAAGGCCCGGGCTCCAAGTTTGGAAACCCATTGTTACGGCTCAGGAATGCGAAAGGCCTCCTTTAAGAATTCTAGTTTGTGTTCTGACCACAAGGGGATTTGGGAATTCCTGTTACCGGCTTTGAAGACCCAAAGGATTGCAGCATTGCATAAATGCTTCGTTACCAAGAGAACACACATTGTGTTCTTTTAATTCGCTCTTAATTATTTTCTTTTGACTCACACTGCTTTGTGATGCCGCTTGAGCCCAAATGCGGCTTAGCCGCTAACATGCTGTACGTTACCCAACTGTGAAGATGAATAGAAGTGATTTGTTGAGTTGGTTATCACTTTTGGGGGCAGGGAGAGGGAGGATTCGAAAGAGGGAGGAAGACGGAGTGTATCAGCCAGTGAGACGTGAGGTCCACCCTAGGGTGATGTCATCCAGGCTTGAACATCTCCTGAATTTTTAATGTCTACTAAGCACAACTCAAAAACAACATGAAAAGTATGAAATATGCATAAGCGCTTTTTGGAAGACTTTGTTCCTGAACTCTGGCAGCCCAGGGAAGGGGTTGGAATGGGGGCAGGGAAGAAGTGGGAAGAGGCGGGGCGGGGCCTCACAGAAGGAGTAGAGTGGGGGCGTGGCCAGGGCAGCCAGCGGGGGGTGAGGGGTGGTCAGTGGTGCGGCCCTCAGGCCAATGTACTAGTCCTCATGTGGCCCTCATGGTCATTTGAGTTTGAGACCCCTGATCTAGTCTGACCTCCCGTATCACACAGGCCATAAAACTTCCCCAAAATAATTCCTTTTGAACCAGAGCATCTATTTAAAAAAAAATCCAGTCTTGATCTAAAAATTGCCAATGATGGAGAATCCACCATAACCCTTGGTGAATTGTTCCAGTGATTAATCACGCTCACTATTGGATAAAGGCCTAAGTGTGCAAACTGTTAACTGCCTTGAATGTGTGTGTAAATGTGGCCTACAAATGTAGAGCAAATCAGTCCCCTGGTGTTCTACAGAATCGCTACAATTGCTGAATGCATTTTCAGAGCAATGGTGCTCATAGAGTTAATACTACTAACACTGCGTTATATCACATTTCATCTGATGTCCTCCGGGCTCTTTACAAACATCAATGGACTCGCTCTGATCTCAGTTACACTGGGGTAAATGTGGAAGTTACTCAGTTGAAGTCAATGTAGTTATCTCTGCAATTACCCTGCCGTAATAGAGATCAGAATCTGGTCCACGCTAATTAATCTCACAACCCCCCTGTGATATAAGTGGTGGTGTTCCCAAGGAACTGGAGACATGGAGAGATTAAACAAATTGCCTAACATCCAACAGAGAGTCAATGGCAGAGCTAGAGTCAGAACCCCGGAGTCCTGACGTGCAATCCCTAGCTTTTATTAACAGAACATAATCCCTTTCTCTTTTAGTCTGAGTAATGGTTTAGTGACCCAAGCACAGGACTCAGCCAAGTTCCCAATTCCCTCTGTGGCCTGGGGTAGATCATGTTAACTCTGTCTTAGTTTCCCGATCTGTAGAGTTGGGGGCTAGAATGCCGACACACCTCCTCACCTGGCCAACATCTTCCATTATGCCCCAGGATCAGAGACTCCCAGGATGTGCCACCTCCCCTCTCCAGGAGGGGAGACGGTGGTGCATCATGGAAGATGTAGTACATTTGGGGAGCCCAGCCTCTAGAGGAGAATGGAAACATGAAGCAACCAAACTACAACTCCAATGAAGCACCACACGAGCATTTCTGAATCAAAATATTTGTGTTTTCAGCCAACGTATTTTGGGGTTTGATTTTTTGCCAAAAAGTCATCGTCTTTTTTCTGTAGAAATAAAACCCATTTTCATCCCAGCTCTATCCCCAGTCTGTGTTAATTAAATGAAACCATCTCACACCCTGTGTTAGTGGATGAACCAAAGTGATCTGTTGCCAATGCCCTGTATTACTAAGTGTGCAGCATTCCCCTTCTGCATTAATATCACCATGTAGCCACTTCTATGGTTAAATAAATAAATACTGCATTCTGTAGGGTCCTTTTCCTTGTCAAATCACTGCATAATTAGGGCCTGATCAAAGACCTCTTGGGGTCAATGGCATTGTTTCCATTTGCTTCAATGGGTTTTAGATCATGCCTTCTGCCATTTTACACCTGAAAAGGGTGTTTTCACTATGGTGAGCTAGGAATTAGTGAGGGGTATTGTATGAAGTGTTTATTAAGGAGGAATCTTTGATGGCTCCTAAAAGACCTAATCATTGCCTCTTTTCTCTATGTTGGCAGCCGACGTTCTATGACACAGTGAAGACCGGTTACACCATCGGATATAGTTTATCTCTCATTGCTCTCACTGCAGCTATGATTATTTTGTGCCTCTTCAGGTGAGAACCTGGGCATGGAGGGGAAGGGAATGTGCAGGGGTGGGGAAACAGATTGTTTAATTCCGAGGACCTGAGCAGATTCTTGGCTATAGATTTGCGAGTGCCTTGCATTTGGAATGCCCGGCAACCCCTTTCCAGAGCAAGGGTGGCTGGTGGCAGTGGAGGGACACATATGGTTGAAGTTTTCTCCAAGAAGGACGCAGTCACACATTTTGGGGTGACTCATCTGTGTGGCATTTGAACTGCGCCATTGGCATTGGGACATGCAAGCCCAATCTTGTGCACCACATAGCTCAGTTAAGCAGAATGCCACCTGTGCCTTAGAAACAGGCAGATCTGTCCTCCAGCGTCTTCTGACCTACTTTAACCGCTGGATATAGAGCAACCACACAATATTATGGTGATGGTGCAATATGCCTACCGTGGAGGACTCAAGGCTGGGGGCTGCTTTTGGAAGCCCAAGGGCCAGTTTTGGTGTCTGATTTGCAGCTGTTTCCCGTAGGACAATGGGCAGAGATCTTAGAGGCTTGCAATGTCCGATGAGCTTTTACTGAATAGAGAGAATAGCGGAGAACCAAACAACCTGGAGATGAAAAAGACTTGCTAGATTCTGTAGTCCATCCCCTAAAGCCAATGCAGAAGGGTATCTAGTTCTAATGCTTTTCCCCAATCTTGTACCAAGCAACAGGGCTTCCACCATTTCCCTAGGGAGAGTATTCCACAAGCTAAGAGACTCCTTGTATGAAATGAGATATTTTAATGCTCCAGAGTAGTCTGTCCACCGGCTCCAGTTGACCTTGCACAGTACTAGAAGACAAGTGTATGACAGAAGTGTATGGCAAGGTATGCCCTGCAACGATCCATCTGATCTTAACAGATGTTCCTTAAGAGGTTTGTTTAAGGTTGGCTGATTAGTCCTGATTCTTAGTTAAACTAAGACCTTTTTATGCATCTGTGGCAGCACAAAATGACATTAAAGCAAGCAGAAACAACCCCTGGAGAATACCGCCACTCACAATGCCTCCCTGACAAGCCCAGAATGGGTACAGGGGCTCTACACCACCACTGCTCCCAGCCCCCTGCTTTGGGGGTGGATTGTGACTGTGGCCACACCGCACTGCACTAGAGCCTACAAGGAGCTGGAAGAAGCAGGGCATAAATTAGAGCAGCCCTGAGGCTGATGTAACTTACACCTGGGCTGGACAGATACCTTCACGGCTCCAGCATATGGAGAACGATCTTTGCCCCACACTCACGTCATCCCAGTCCCCAGCGCAGGAACAGAGTGACTGAGAATCAGGCCCATTATGTTATTTATGCCTGTAAAACTTGCACATCTCCAGGATATTAGACCTCTTGCTTTTAATTGCTGGGAAATGTCACTTGAAAACCCCAGAGTTCCTTGATCCAGATAGATCGTCATAATCTGCTAAAGCCTATGGAATGGAATAAGCCCAGTGTTGCTCTTAATGTCAGTTACCCTAACTTATATCTTTTAAAGTTAAAATATAAGCCACATTGCTGTATAAAGTATGCAAATATTTATTAATTTTGGCTTGAGCTGTTCAGAAAATGGAGTTTATCCTGCTGACAATGTCAACTTTTTGGCAAAACACTCAAATCAGAAATATTCTGGATAAAGCAGAAGTTTTTCACAACACATTCTGGCCAGAAGAGTAATGTATTGAGATGAAGTCCTGATGTTTAAAAATGCTATTTTTCTCTCTCTCCCACCCCACAACAGAAAACTGCACTGCACTCGAAATTACATCCACATGCATCTCTTCATGTCTTTCATCATGAGAGCCATTGCAGTTTTCATAAAGGACTTCATCCTCTTTGAGAGCGGCGAGTCTGACCACTGCTCTGCGAACTCAGTAAGTAGCAGCGACCAGCTGACGTTTTCGGATGCCAGCTGGTTTGGTTCAGCCCCCTTAATTGGGGAACAAAATAATGAACACGGAAAGGCAGGCAGGGAAATGCTGGGGGAAGCTTTTAGTTGTTGTTGCGCTGTATTGGAAAGGAAGCAAAAAACCCGCTGGCTTCAGCCTAACGTTGAGAAAGAGATTGCAGCAGAAATTCCTCACTCAGCAGATGTTGCTTTTTAATTGTCAGTGCCTCGGTCTCTCAGCTGCGATGATGAAGCTGGGGTGATAAATGATGAGAAGAGTTTGGGATCTTCTATACCTTACAGAATCAGGCTACTGAAAAATAGTTTACTGGCCAACCGCCCTGGAGCAGAGGAAAGCAGCTCCTATTCTCTGCCTGTGGCACTTAATAGTCTAGTCTTCTGTAGGTCTCATTTACTTTGGTCTCATTTCCATTGTTGGGTTTAGTGTGTGGTTGCTGCATGGTGTTTGTGGCTTGTGATATAGATCTAGGGGTCCCTTCTGGTCTTAAACGCTGTGACCATGAAAATGGTCCACCCACCCACTGCTTCCATTGTCCACCCTAGCTCCATGGCTTCTTTCACATGGTCCCCTTCATGCTTGGAACAGCCTCTCAATTAATATTTGCCAAGCAATCTCCCTCCCAGACCACCCTGAGACCCATCTGTTCCATGACTCATTATAGATGTCATGACCACGTTGCTCTTTCTGTTTGTTCCCTAGGTTGTTACCCATTTCTGCCTCAGTGCTCCAGGCTCTTCAGGGTGGGGGGGTTTATTGTAAAGCACCGTGAGTGATTAGAGTGATATATCAACAGTAATAAATAACTGGCCAGAGACTTGTGCCACAAATAGCTGCCAATGTTAATTGGAAAAGAAGCCAAGAAGTCAATGAGCCATGGAGATTGAACTAACCTCTCACCCCTAAGAGGGTTCCCTCTAGGTCATGACTGAGGCCTGTTGATGGAAAGCTTCCATTGCAGCTACCCCTCCGATAACCATTCTGTAGCTAAAGGAAGGACGTTAGCCTGCTGAGCTCTTAGCTTGGTGCCTTTACAAATGTGAATGAACCACGAGAGAAGATCGTTGCACCTGCTAGTACACCAACTTTTCACCCCAATCCCTTGGCTATTGCTGTTGGGTGTTTTATCCGGAGTAAATTCAATGCTCAGCGCAACCAAGTGAATGGCTAGATGGTCCACCAATATTTTAAAGACATGTGGAGCATAATTCTTCTTGCTGTACTGGACTGCACCTTCCTGTTGCAAATTCTGCACCCGTCCTGCCACCACTTCTTGTGCAACCCCCGGCAAGAAAGTTCACACACAAATAACCACCCAACCTACATGGATAAAAAGTTCTTTCCAAACGTTCCTCTGGCCACCTTGTGGAGAATCAAATCAAAAGGGGTACAAATACTATTGGATGGATGGGGGGATTTGGATTCGGTGAACGTATTTTCCCACTGTTCACCCAGTTGTAAACTCTGATTCTTGGGGGGGAAAAAGTGGAAAAAACTATTTTTAATGTAAATTATATTGAAAATCAGCCCCTCCAAAGCCCTGTACTCAGCAGACCTAACTCCCAGGGCAACTCACTGTTCAGCACGTTACCTGAGTCGGAATTAGGCCCCAATCCTCAAAAGTAATGACTAATTCCTGTTGATTTTAATGGCATTTACGTGCCTGAATACCTTGAGGGCTCTGGGCCTTCATCCTGTCTCAAGATGTAGATCCTAGCTCTGAAGGTTCAGTCCCTGGGCATTACTAAACTGGCAGTTCGTACACCCATGAAAACAGGACGTCTTTAGGGCCCACTAGCCTCAGCATAAACAAATCCAAATTCTGCAAGAAGTGTGAACGACCCTTTAGATGTGTATGCCATTTTTTAAAAGCCCATTTGGTTTGCTGCAGTGGGGTTGTGTTGATTATTTAGCCAACAGCAGGAAACCTCAAAATTACAGCATTAACCAAATTGCAAAGCTTCTCATCTAGTAGAACCAGATAGTTAAGAAAACCAGTGGTGAGAGGCAAATGGCTTTCCATGTGTGTTGTCGCGAAGCTGCCGGGGCGCTGGTTTGTTGGTCTTTTCCCCACGTGACAATAGCTGTTGCTAAGGTTAAAAGAATTTTGGAGGGTGGGGAAGAGAAAAGTATTCCCAGCTCAATGCACCCCAGTGCACTCATGACTTGGCAAACAAGGCTTATTGTCATAAGTAAATGTTGCAGGCGAAATTGACCATGGCTTGCAGCGCCTGTGTAAAGGAGCGCAGACCCTTTGTCCTGCTTGAAGAAGATTCAATAATGAAAAGCTTTACAAACGTTTCTTTGCCCGCCGGCCAAAGCAATTAAGCACATCACTAAAGACAACGGTGATGAGCTCTCCTGGCACACACAGAAACAGGAGGCTTGACCTTTAGTAGCGGGCTTTGCTGTCCAGGGATTCTCAGCTGGGTTTCCCAGGGGAAGAACTAGCACGGCGGAAGGCTTGCTTTCTTCAGTGGCGTTGGGTGGTCAGTGAAGAAATCGAAAGATCTGATCTCGAAATTACTTGGAGTGGGGAGTCCTATGGGCTGTGTTATACAGGAGGTCAGAGCAGGTGACCACAGTGGTCCCTTCTGGCCCTGAAATCTATGAATAATGACTGAGTAAACCCACAACTTATTGCCTAAGCTACTCAAATTCTAGTTCCTTTAGACGCTGCAAGTGAACACGCTTTTTTCTCCTAGGCCCCAGTTTTTCTCGTTATTTAAGCCTGCATGTAATTTTAAGCCTCTGAGTCATCTCAGTGGGGTTACTCGCATGTTTGAAGATGTGCATATGTAACATCAACAGACCCCAGTCGTTGGTGGGCAGGATTGAACCGGGGACCTCTGGAGCTTAGTCCATGAGCTAAAGCCAACTGGCTGTTAGCTCAGGCTGTAGAGCAGACTCATTTTATATCTCTCTCTAAGTGGTCTCGGTGCCATTAGATGCACCACACCCAAGAGCTGTGTGGGTTACACATATGCTGAAGCACCTTGCTGAATCTGGGCCTGAACCTGCTAGATTCATAGACTCTAAGACCTGAAGGTGACCATAGTGATCACCTAGTCTGGCTTCCTGTATAATACAGGCCATAGAACTTGCCTGAAGTTAATTTCTCTTTGAACTGGAGCACAGATCTTCTAGAAGAATATCCAGTCTTTGTTTTAAAATTGCCAGGATTAGAGAACCACACCACCACACTCCTTGGTAAATTGTTCCGGTGGTTAATTATACTCACTGTTAAATATTTCCAGTCTGAGTTTGCTGAGCTCAACTTCCACCCATTGGAGCTTGTTATACCTCTGACTGCTAGATTGAAGATGCCTTTATTATCAAATTTCTGTTCCTTGTTTAGGTACTTACAGACACCCCCACTTCAACATTCCACCCTACGCACGTTGTTTTTGTCTTTCTCTGTCTCTCTTTTTCTGGAAGCCACTGTGTGAAACCCAATCACCAAAGCCACTAACCTGGCAGAAGAATTGAGCTGAAATTTTGGGTTGTTTTTTAAAAGAGCAGGACTTTGATCAGCTTCATTAATGTGGCACCTAGATGCTATGGGAATTGGCAGATTAGACATCCAGGTTAGATGGAGACAGAAAGGCAAATAGATAGATAGATAGAAGACTAGATCCGCAGCTAAAAGACAATGGAACTATGCAGTTTTACATGAGGTGAGGATGTGGTCGAGGGTACATAGTTTCTCTTCAACTTTTTGAGTTCCAGAAAGACTAGTTGGTTCACTCCAGACAGCAATTCCTCTTTACAAAGGAAGGCAAGCTATATACAGCCCAACTGCGAAGAATGCACCCTCTGATCTTCTATTTTAAGAATGTGAACAGGTATTTCTGTTAGTTCAGCAAGATCTTACTCAAGAAACTGTAAAGAAACCTGTCCCTATAATTTTTAGAACAGACATTAGCTTAGGTTTAGGGGGTGGCTTGTGTTCGCTAAAGCAAATGTTTCTGTAGCTCCCTGGAGAACAGGAGATTATAGACTGTGTGGAGAAGCTGAGGGCTAAATAAGGAGAGACACCTGACAAGATATGGGTGACTCGCTTGAGCAGCACCCTGAATACTTAATTAAATCAAAACCAGAAAAGCGGGTCAAAATCCAACGCGATTATGCATTGAAGTCATTAATAGTCAAACACCTATTGAATTAATGCGGGATCATCATCCAAGAGCCAGGTGTACAAAGATGAAGACAGGGCCAGTGGGATTTTCAAAAGCACCCTAAGTGTGTAAGGCACCTAACTCTCACTGAAAGCCCATGGGAGTTAGGTGCCTCACACACTTAGGTGCTTTACCTTTGTAAAGCTGGCCCAAACTGCTTACATTTAGCCTTTGCCAGGACAGCGGGAGATACCTTCGGTCCCAGTGTTAGGTTTTGTTTAAAAAGAAAAACAATCTCAGAACTTTTCCTCGGTGTTTACTTGGCCTTTTCCCAGGCCGAACTGACTTGGATGACTGAGTTTGGACTCTGCCAGGGGGCTTGTCTATATGGACAGTTAGTGCGCGGCAGTCTGGGATGTAAAGCTACAGTGTAGTAGCCGGCCATGCGCTAACTAGCCCTGTGGACCCTGTTACCACACACTCATTGTGCACTGTGACCTACTCCACTTTGAAACAGGAATAGGTCAAAGCTCACTAAAGTGGGAGTGTCTGTGCGTGCCCACTGGCAGTGTCTGTGTGTCAGGCTGTAGAATGCCACGTGTTATCTGTCCATATAGACGAGTTCAGCGTGGAGTTAAAACCGAATAAGGACGTAAGGGTTGGGCCCTTTAATATTCTAGTGGGCTCCTGTTTTCATGTGTTCTCTTGTCTTCTGAAATGGTCACTGGGTTTGAACACTTCACGTTCGCATTCTCCCCACCCATGAGTTAATTCGGAGCCAAATCTGTTTGTTCGTTGTGAAGTCTGGGCGGAAAATACATGTTATATTTTAAAAATAATCTGACCGCA